TTTCTCACCCCTGAATTGCAAGTGCTCTCTGTCCACTTAGCCATCCCCTCATCACCAAACTGTAGTCACTGCGAAGGCACTGTACTGCTGTTGCAAGAGCACATTTCTGTACTGCAAGGGGCTAACAAAGTAAAATAAACTGAATCACAAAGCTAAATCTATAGTTAAAAAAGAAGAGACATAGATGAAAACCAAAATGATCTCAACGCAACCTTGATAGTGAATTGTACCTAAATGTTCTTTTCAGGGAAGAGAGCAAGTCAGATGATCAGAGCTGGTGTTGGAAGCCTGTGGGGCAGGGGGATTAACCAGTAGAATACCAAGTTACCATTCCCAGGAAGTTGTTTTGGTGTATAAAAACCAAATTTCAGACCCTTTAAAATGTTCACCTAATCAGCTTTTAGACTGTGCAGAAGAACTGATGAGAAAAGCCTAGAGTTTTCGATCTCTCTTCTGCTCACCACCACCCACTGAGATGTAGCTGTGGTGATTCCCTTAAACTTAGAAAGGCTTAGAAACTTCAAGAAAGTATCCCAGGGATAGGGACGTATTTTTAAACCTTGCGCCCCAAATCAAACATTAAGACTTTGGTTTATGTAAGTCAGAGACAGGATGTCCTTCCCAGGTAGCCAATAGAGGCCACATCCCTAGAGCCCCATTTTACCTTCTCCCTGTGGTTTGTAGAAGCCTTGGAGGAGCCCAGAGTGACCTCCTACGAGACAGCTGTGCCATGGCTACTCAGTACTGTGGACTCAATGCCTCAACTAGCTATTTTGCTTGGATATGTGTTAAAAACCTCAATCTCAGATTGGCACTGCATGAAGTGAGGCCTCCTCGGAGACCCTTCAGGTCACAGCAGCCTGTCCATCAGGAGGACAGTGGATCCTCAGCCGCCCATTTGCTCCCATCTCCACTTCCTTCATTATTATAATTTAGATATGAAGGGTTCTCAGATGCTTATGTGTTGACAGCTTAGTGACTAGTTGGTGGTGCTACTGTAAGGCCGCTGGTCTGAGGAGAGCACAGACCTCACCAAAAGAATTAGTGCATAACTGACCAGACTACATAGGGAGTATAGTACTGGTATAGGGAGCAGGGTACTGAGGGGGATGTCCTTGAAGGTTATGTTTTCCCTCAGGCTCTGGCCTTCTCTGCTTCTTGACCCCAAGAGATGAACAGTTTTGCTCAGGTACATTCTCTCATTGTATCCAGCTTTGCCTTATTCCCAAAGCAATGGAACTAGCCAGGGACAGACTGAAGCCTCAGAAACTAGGAATCAAAATAAGCCTTGCTCCTTAAGTTGTGTTCTCAGGCATCTTGTCACCATGATGAAAAGCTTACTGAAGAGCCATCAAGGGGTAAGTGTCTTTTCTGTCAGCGTTCACCAGGGCTGCATCAGGCCCAAAGCAACAGGATCAACTGACTTTGGACAAAAACCTTTAACACTGTGAACAAAAAGTCTCATTTCTTCTTTTACAGTGATTACCTAGGCGTATGACTGAGTGTACAAAGGTGGCTAGCTCCCAAGTTCCAGTACACAGGATGTTCTCTACCCATGGTAGTGAGCACAGCAGAGTCGCAGAGTCATGAGGGAGTCACCCTCGTGAATCCCATGGTGAACACAGTACAGAACAGATGAGATTCCCCACTACCCGCAGAGTATTCAGGTCTGGCCTTGGCCCACCTCCCTTTCACCGCAGCAGCTAAGCCACCAGGCCCTCCTGCAGGTGCAGGGTTGGGGAAGGGGCTCAAGTCCAAAATTAATCCCTGCTTAATGCCTGGCGGTTAGACAGCTGCTGATTCTCAGAAACTTTACAACCTTGCCTCTTTTCCTAACTCAGCATCCTCAGACTTCTCTCATAGAAATACATCTTTGAGAATACTCATAGAAATCCTAAAATGCTCCCTTATTATGGCATGAAACCATAAGCAGGGAACTTTCAAGTAAAAACATTTCATTTAAAATAAATATAAATGTGAAGATTTATATTAAAATTTACTATTTCATAAATAATGATATATATATACATATATATATATATATACATATATATATATATATATTTATCACTTAATATATTAATAAGAAAATGTCGTGTTTGGCCAATAGCATAAATATATTTTAGCACCAACATATACTCTAAAATGTCAAGATGAAACTAAATCTATTTTATAGAATCAAACAAATTAAAATAGCTGCATATTTTTCTCGAGAATTCTTATTTTCTGCATGTATAATCTGACTCATTTACAGTATTCATCTTTTGTCTGAAAATGATGAGGTGCAGATTATAATTTCAGGTTTAGATTCCAAGTTTTTCCTGGAAAATTTTGAATAGTCTTCTACAAAATCAAAATGTTGGGTTATATAAAATCTAGTATTACATTTTCTATGTAACAGTGGCTTTTGAATAAAGTTTCCATTAGCAAAACAGAATGTGAGGATTTCATACAGATAATCTGGTTTACAGAGTTACCAAATATAAATTCATTAGTAGCTCGCCTGTTTCAACTAGAAGCTTCAATGACATTATACACATTGCTCAACCAAACCGCTTACTTATTACCTGAAAGGAAAGAGTCATATAGACTGTCCTGCTGACAGCAGAGCCAGGAGGGCTGGGGCTGGAGACAGAGTGTGGCCATGTGAGAGAACACAGCACTCAGCAGGACTCTATGACCTGGCCTCAGTCATTCACCATACCCAGGGGTGTGCATCCTGTTTGTTTCCTAGGTAGGAACACAGGACTGGGTATTTAATTTAAAACAGAAGAACAAAAAGCAAAAACAAAAAAACCATTATTTTAACATGGATTTTCAAGACTATATTCACTCAAGAGGAAAATCTTGTTCACTGAAACTTTGTTGATCTAGATAACATTATTCAATGACTTTAGATCTACTTCAAACTAAGACAAAGACCTCTTTGCTCTGAACTGTATGCGCCTCTTGTACATATCCTCTGGGGCTGGCTGCTCTGCCCTCCTCTATATCCTTGCATCTCATCTCATGAAAAAGTGGTAAACAGCTACTTTGGATGTTCACATCACTCTTCACTTTCAACTACTGTCTGCACTAACAATTGCTCTGGCTGACTTGACTGGTAATGTGCGTGTTACCAAGGCCAACAGATGTTTTCTGTCTTGCTGTGTAGCTAGCATCTGCTTGAATGCTTCCTCTTTCCCAAGGCAGTTTTATCACTGGGATGAATAACAGTCCTTTCCATGTATTGCTCAGGCTGCTTTGTGGCAATAGTATCTCTTTTGTCCATTTTTAACTTATCTTTAACAGTGTGGTTGCTCCTGAGGGTCAGGAGCCCTTTCTTACTTCTGATTGCTTCCTCCTGATGACCCAGTTATCTCCAAGGTTTCAAACACGCCTGCCCCTAAAGTCAAGGGAAATTTCTATCTCCAGTCTAGACATATCTCCCAAGTTCAGCTTCCCTAAAAACATGTAAATTCTACCAAGGGAGTGCCATACCTGCTTTGCTGTTTTATTCCCAGCTTGTGATGGAGTCCTAGTAGCATGACACATAGTGGCAATCAATAAATATTTGTTGACCAGATCCGTCATTCATTTGCTCTCTGCTCTCTATTGGCATGCTTCTTTCTAAAGGCCTTAATTATATAACTAAAACTGAAGATGACAATAGCAGCCCCTTTCCAGGTTTGCCTCAAGGCACATGAGATAGTGAACATATGTGCATTTTATGAATTAAAAAGCAGTATACCATGGTAAAAGGTATACTTTTCAGGCTAAAATACTTACTCCTTGGACCCTTACAAAAACAACAAAAGTTTGTTCACCCCTAACATAGGACAGTATCTGAGTTCGAGGAGATACTGTACAAATTAATGGACAGACGGTATTTTCTTGCATTTTACTATCATCTATCTGTACTGTAACATGCTGGCAGGGGATGGCAGCTCACATCCTGGTCCTTCCCCTCTGATGCACTGCCCTACCGTCTCCTCCAACGTTGTTTACCTTAACCTTAAGAAAGTTCAATCAATATACATTTCCACTTTCTCCTAAGTATATAAGTGGAGACAGAGAAGACACAGGTCTCAGAGGGATGGAGTGGAGATGGGAACTTGAAAGCAATGACAACATCTCCACGAGAAAGCTGACAGCTGTTCAGTACCCAAGTCCAAGTCTACAAAAATCTACTCACTGTTGCTACAAAATACATAGATTTTATTTTGGGGGAAACTCTATGACCAAAGTTTAGAAATGGCCTATCCACAAAAGAGGACTATATTTATTGCAATGAAATAAAGTGTCAAGAAAATGCTGCACAAAAGGGAAAAGGAATTTTGAGTCAACCACTCAAGATTTGAGTTTGAACCTTAGCATGTGTTCCACAAGTGACTTTGGGCAAATCCATTATTCCCTGTGAACTAAATTTTTGTCTCTGGAAAAGAGAGTGGTCACCTCTCTGACACCTTGTAGGTGACTACTATGAACCAGTGGCTTATTCCATCTTGTGATAAAAGCATTATCAACACCAGTATGTGGGCAGACAAGGAAGCTCAGACATGCCCACCTGCTTGTTTAAAGAAACACCACTTAAAAGAGCCCATTGGTCTGCACAGTGCAGCCTTAGCTAAGGCCTAACCAGCTTCAGCTCTGCCGCATGTATTATCTTAAATATGGTATATTAGAGCCTAATACGAGTAGGAAAGGTCTGACATCCAGTTATGGTAGGATACTTACTGTCAATGTACACTTTAAAGGGGGATGCTCTCACCAGTAGTCGTGAGTAAGCTCAATCCATTGTCTTTTGAAAAACAGTAGAAGAGAATGTGTGCCTTTCTCCGCATGCAGTGAGAACACCCCAAATCTCAGAAGCAAACTACAGAGAAGTATTAGGTGTTGAGCATATACCTGATTACTTTAACCATCCTAATTTCTACTTAATCAACAGGGACTCTCCTGTCTATGATGTGGACACCCTCAGCATGCAACTGGGCCATCCTTGGTCAACAGCCCCGCATTACCTTTCCTTCATCGTCTCGTGTACCCTCCCGTGTTGGATGCACTGCTCCTCCAGTTCGTCATTTCTCCTCTGTAACTTCTCTAGTTTGTCACATAAGTATCTTTTGTCTTGACTGAGCTGAACTATTTCCGATCTAGAGAGGATAGGAACACAGACATAGTAGATAGTTGAGATTCACCTTACTAGAATGTATTTTTTATTGTATAAACCTTAGCATTATCTTAAACTCTATACTTAAGGCATAGTCATGAAAGAAAAAAATTATTTTATATAAAAAAAAGATTTCAGAAAATTTGAAATGCCTAGTAGAAGGATAGATATTACATCCTAGAGACTCTAGTTACAGCACTGGAGAGGTCTGAGAGGTCACACTGGGGATCTAGTTACAATGGGGGAGCTGGTGTTACCATATAAGTCTATATTCTCAGAGGTAACCTCCTTGCCCTCTTTCAATCTTGCTCTTAGGTTGTGCACAGTCAGTGCTATAACACGAGTGGAGGATGGCCTGCATTGAGACAAGAACCAACAGATGTGTCCTGTGGTGACAGCTGAGGTCTTTCAGGACATAAACTATACATTTGGTGTCTTGGATGACAGTCTTAAAGAATACACTCTTAAAAAAGAGAAGAAAGATATCTAAGAAGAGCTTTGTCTTTTTAAAAATTAAATTTCCTGCATTGATGGCATTTCCTCAAGCCTACTCTCTCATCAGTGAGAAGTCACAGCTTTAACTTCTGCACATAATGAGCAAATTTTAAGTTAATACACTTAACACTTCTGACATAAAATGAGTTCCCTCCCCAGAAAGGAGTGTTTCACTACAAACTATCTACTTAGTCCTTTGCTCTATAGAGAAGACTTTGGATTTGCTAGAGGAAATCCCACCCCACAAACTGTTCTTCCCAAAGAGCACCATGCCAGCAGGGGTGGGGCAGAGTCAGTCCATCTCACTCCTCACTCTGTTCTCCTCCTGCTCACATGCATCCTAAAGGCAGCTCGCTCAGGTCCTGCCACAGGTCAGCAGGCTTTGAAACTACCTCTGTTTTCCCAAATGTCCCCTTAGAGTCCAACTTTCTAAACTCTGCTGTATGTCTCACCTTTCTTACAGTTTGCAGGTGAGACAGAGAATACCCCCATCCTCCTCCTCCTCCGTGTTTGTGTTTCAAGACACGATTTCTCAGTGTAGTCCTAGCTGTCCCAGAACTCATTCTATAGACCAAGCTGGTCTAGAACTCCCTGCCTCTGCCTCCTGAGTGCTGTAATTAGAGACGCACAGGAACAGCACACAGTTCAGGTACTCACGCTGCACTTGCCTCTCCTGGCAGGAATGAATACATATTTGTAATAGTCTACATCCTCAAATAAACGACTCGTGTTTATCCACTCAAAAGCAAAACCAATACAAACGTAATCTAGAAGCCTTAATAATATTTTGAATTAAGTATTTATTAAAAATTAGCACAGTTAATATCCAAACTATATTAGCTCATGTGCTAAAATAAATGCCAAAAGGAAAAAAATATCCTTAATCCAAATTAGGAAAAGAATAAAACCCAGGGAAAAGAACTAGCACTTATTCTTAGGCTGCTTCTATGAAGAATGGTGCCATTTGCAAGGAAAAGTAGACTTTATAATATCAAAATATAAAATGCTTACATATTAAAAAACCCTACATTTTTGAAAAGTAATATGTTTATATTTAGATTCATTGCAGCGCTACCTAGACAGAGACACTTGGTCTTGACCCAATACATGGAAACTTTATGCAGAATTTTGTCATCAGGACATCAGCCATCTTGCTTATATGATAGCAGATAAGATTCTGATAATATGGCTACTTACTAGTCCTATTTATTGACCTACAATATAACATTTTGATAAGAAAGGGGAAACATTAAATATCAGCATGCACAATACAATTATATTTTACAGTTATTTTGAGTATGCACAAAATATTAAAACTGATAACTTCTGGGTGATAGATTTCCCTTTTGTTTGTCCATCTTTTTCTGTACTTTATCATCTCCACCGTGGATCTGTATTTAAAGGGGCAGTCCCCCTGCTGGGCAACCGATGCTCAGGCTCAGTTTTTGCTTGAATACTTCACTTTTTGGTGTCACATGTTTATATAGGGACATGTGTACTAAAAAGAATTTAATTCAACTCTTGGCAAAATTGTACACATTAGTAGCCTTAAAAAGTGTGTCTGGCTTCTGAAGCAACAATTCCCTTTCAGGTGTTTCTAGTGAAAGAATCATCAAAATGTCCAAAGTTACAGCTGTATTATGACTAGAACAGGTAAAAGTTGGAAATGTCACAAACATCTAGTGGTCACTATATAAACAAATGATGCCGTTACGATTTCCTTTCTGGAGTATTAACTAAGAAAAGTGTTTATTAATGGAGACAGGTAGAAATCAACTGTAAAACTGTACAAACTTTGTACCCATCATGATATAAGCACTTTACATGACACATTTACATACACATGAAAAATGACTTACAAGAAGCATGTCAAAAATAGCAGTGATTATCTTGAGAGAGCATTGTCATGGGAAAATGTTTCCTAATTCTTCTTTATGATTCCCTACAGTGAGGTGTCTTTAGTAAGCACAAAAATATAAATGTATTTTCAAGTACAGACGACTATAATATGTGCTACTGTATATAGTATATGCTACTATATATAAT